TCCCCTTCATAAAAGGATTTGTTCATAAAACCTGGACTCAGTCAAAAGGCAGCACCCAAGGACCTAGAAGGCCACATGTAGCCTTGAGGCCGCAGGTTCCCCATCCCTGTTCTAGTGTATCACCACTGCAGATTTAGCTGCATCTTAAAGATAGATATTATGAAGTAGAGGAAAGGTAGGAATGCATTCCATGTATGAGGAAAAGTCAGGGCAAAGATAAAGTCACAAGACATGAAGTGTCATGAGCAAGGAACACAGAAAAGGCCAGTTTGACTGGACTGCTGAATACAGAAGGGGGATTATGTCCAATGACGTTGGAAGGAGGTTGGGGTCAGGTTGCAAATGGTTTTAAAAGTTAAAAAGAAAAGTTCATATTTTATCCTAGAATCAACTGGAACCCACTGACTGAGTAGGGGAATCACACGGTGAGATTTATGCCTTAGAAAAACTACTTTGGCTGCAGTGTATATGACAGATTACAGTGGGAAGAGAATTAAGGCAAGAAAGAACAATTAAAAGGCACTGTTGCAATAATCTAGGTGAAAGGTGGTGAGGGCCTGAACTACGGTGGTACTGATGTAAGTGAAGAAATTAGATGTGAGAGGTAATAGAAATGGCAAGATAGGACAACAGACATAGGTTATGGACTAGGAGCTGTGAGTGTTGCACCTTCAACAGAAATAAGGAAATCTGGAAGGGGTGGAGTTTTTGCAGGGAAAAACGAGTTCATTTTGGACATGTTAGGTTTGTAGTGTCTCTAGGACATCCAGTTTGAAATATCCAACATGCAGTGGGTGATGGGGGACTGAAGCTCAAGGGAGGGACTAAGGCCAGATATTGTTCTACCTATTTATCTCCTGTCTTTGAGAGTCATCTGCATGGAGAGGATAATTAAACCCATGGGAGCTGAGGAAGTCACAAAGGAGAGATAGAGCAGAAGGAGAAGAGAAGAAGGCATGGGTTAAAACCTTGGGGGAATATCTACTGTTAGGGGGTACTAGATGGATGATGAGCCAGCCTGAAGATTGGTCAGAGAGGTGAAAAAAGAACAGAATACAGTCGGGTCACAAAAAATGCTGAGAAGAGAGTTTCCAGGAGAGGTTGGTAAACAGTGTCAAATGCAGCAGAGGTCAAGAAGGATGAGGTCTGAGAAAAGACCTTCATATCTAGCAATTAGGATATTACTGGTAATTTTGGAAAGAGTAGTTTCAATTCAGGGGGTGAGAAGTGAAAGGATAGGAAATAAAGGCAGCAAGTTTAGACAAGTTTCAAGGAATTTGGCTGAGAAAGGGAAGAGATCTATGGTAGCTTGAGGGAATGGAAAGGTGTAGTGAGGATTTTTTTGATGGGGGAAACTTGAGCATGTTTGAAGGCATTCAAGAAGGAATCAGGAGATAGGGAGAGGGCCTGATGACAGATGATCACTTGAAGACCATCCTACTTATGTTCAAAAAGGTTCATCTGTGGAAGATTACCTAAGAGGTGATCAATTTTTGTTTTGGTCACAGCAACTGACTAAATTTGATCAATACTTATTATGTACCTATACTAAGTACAAGGCATCATGATCAGTTCTGGGGACATAAAAACAGCCTCTGCCTTCAAAGTGTTAAATTGATGTTCCTAAAGTACAGGATATGGCTACACTATCCCCTCTCTGTATAAGTTTAGTGGCTCCCCATTACCTTTAGGATCAAATATAAAAATCCTCCATTTGTCTTTTAAAGAACTTCATTACCTGGCTGCTTTCCAGTCTTCTCCACAGTCTCTAGGATAGAGTGACGTTGGCCTCCTTGCTGTTCCTTACACACAACACTCCATCTCCAAACTCTGGGCATTTTCACTGGCTGTCCCTCATGCCTGGAATTCTCTGCCTCCTCTTTTAAATCTTCTAGCTTCCCTGGCTTCCTTCAAACGCTAGCTAAAATCCTCCTTTTACAAGAAGTCTTTTTTAATCCTTCTTAATTCTAGTGCCTTCCCTCTGATTATCTACAATTTATTGCACGAGTGTGTGTGTGTGTGTGTGTGTGTGTGTGTAGTTTACACTTATTTGTTTGCAGGTTGTCTCCCCCATTAGACTGTGAGCTCATTGAGAACCAGAACTATTTCATCGCTCTTTGTATCCCCAATGCTTAGCATAGTGCATGGCACATAGTAAGCACTTAAAAACTTGCTGACTTGACTAGAAGGAATTTATATATATATATATATATATACACACACACACACACACACACATATATATATGTATATAAATACACAAACATTTTTTTTTTTTGGTAAGGCAATTGGGGGTTAAGTGACTTGCCCAGAGTCACACAGCTAGTGAGTGTTATGTGTCAGGCTGTATTTGAACTCAGGTCCTCCTGACTCCAGGGTCCGTGCTCTTTCCATTGCACCACCTAGCTGCCCCCTAGGAATTTATATTTTACTAGAGGATACAACATGTACACAGATAAGTGAATGCAAAATAATTTGAGAAGGGAAAAAACCACTAACAACTGGGGTACAAAAATCATAAAGATTTTGCTGAGCAGGTGCCACCTGAATTGAGTCTAGAAGCACATTAGGTATTCTGAGAGAATGAAGTGAGGTGGCAGCAGCTTAAGGGCATTAGAGACAGGCTGTGTGTAGGCCAAGAGATTGGAAATGGTATGTTGTGTCCAAGAAATATGTTAGTTGCCTTAAGTGGAATAGATGAAGAGGTTATGATCTCTATTTGAGAGACTAGTCAAACCAATGAAATCAAAGATGTTTTGAAGCTCAAAAGATGTATTATTTTACCAGAAAGTTATTAGAATGTTTCTCTAATATTACACTGAAAGTCAACAGGAAAACAGAATTCATGAAATCAGAGATTTTTAAAGCTGGAATGCACCTTAATGATCACTTAGTCCAACCCATTCATTTTAGATATAAAGTGAAGCCCAGAGAAATCATATGACTAATTAAAATTCACTTTGGATTTATTCCAACAAAATATTCTGCTGAGTGAGGTAAATAATTCAGTAATATTTTTCTCTTCAAAATGCATTATTTACCACATATCAGCATCTTCCCAACAGTTATATCCACTACTTAACTAACTTTATATAATTTACACCTTAGTTGAAGCCATGTCCTATATTACAATACATGCTTTAAAGTGGAGAAGTATGATGACTGATAATGTTATAAAATAGTACATAAATTTTTTTGAGTGTGATACTTAAGATTTGCATATTTTTAATTTTCTCTCTTTAAAATATTGTAAAAACTCATCACCTGAAGCCAAGATGAGCTCCCTGCCCATCTAGTACTTTAAAAAGGCTTGGCAGTCACTAACCTCAATTCTTTTAAACAGATATTATTATTTTGCTACTTTAAAGTATGCTCTTAGTTTCCACATTATTTTTAAAAGACTTAGAATCCTGAAAAATGACACACTATTATTCTTTTCTTTTTTTCCTCTCTATGCATATCTAGATGGAAACGGCTGAACTGATGTCTCTGGATTACTTCTACACAGTGCTTTGTGCTTCGATCACACACAATTGAGTGCTAAGATCAATTTTAAATGGTGGTCAATCTTTTAGAAAGGCTGGATGAAATATTTTTTTCTCTTGATGATAATCACTTGCATTTATCCCTGTCATATTCCATCAATCATCACTATGAATCTACTAACATCCAGACCCAGCCTGTATTACTTACAGTGAAGATACATGACTGTTTTGCTAGAGTCCATTCCTGATAGATGGCTAAAGTTATCTGAAATCCATTATTTCACTTATGCTACCTGATTTTTCTTTTTATCGTGCCATTTGGTTTAAATAGGTTGTTTTTCAATTGACAAGTATCTGTTTTCTCTTCCTCCCACCTCTGTTCTGCCTACCTCATGTGGTTATATGTGTTTTGTTTGTGACTAGGTGTCTCTCGCCCAGGCTGGAAACGCAGCAACCACTCACAGGCTCAATCCTACTGCTGGATTAGCATGCAAGTGTTGATCCGCTTCATTTCCAACACGGGTTGGTTTGCCTCTCCTTAAGCAGCCTGGTGCCCTTCCACCCCTTTACTACTGGGAGATTCACCATATTGGTGCTGGACTTAGTGTGGTCACTTAACTTTAACCCTCCTGCAGTTCAGAATTCCCAAACTCAAGTGAACCACCAGCCTGTCTAGTATTAGCAGGGCCTACAGGTATACACTAGCACATTTGGCCTCCTCCCTGACCTTAAGGGGGAAAAAAGGCAAAACAAACTCCTACGCTGGTAGTTTAAAAAAAAAAGTCTCATTTTTCATTTTGAATCTATCACCTCTCTTTCAGAAGGGGGATAGCATACTTCATCTTTAGTCTTCTGGAATCATAACTGTTCATTACATTCACCAACATTCTTAAGCCTCTCATTGTTTTTCTTTATAATGTTATTGTTTTCCTGATTCTGCTCACTTCACTCTACACATCACTCCATACATGCTGTCTCAAGTTTTCCCGAAACTATCCTTTCCCTCATTATTTATGGAACAAAAGAATTCCATTATGGCATAATTTGTTCAGTCTCCAATAAGGAGGTACCTACCTCCTTAGTTTCTAGTTCTTTGACACTACAAAAATAGCTGCTCTAAATATTTTTGTATGTATTGGTCCCTTCCCTCTTTTTTTCAATCCCAACACAGTTTATTTTTTTTCTTTTTCCTTTTTTTTTTTTTGGGCAACTGGGGTTAAGTGACTTTCCCAGGGTCACACAGCTAGTAAATGTCAAGTGTTTGGTCTGAGGCTGGATTTGAACTTAGGTTCTCCTGACTTCAGGGCTGGTGTTCTATCCACTGCGCCACCTAGCTATGCCCCTCCAACATAGTTTATTTTAACATGATTCAGCTGCCCCAGAGCAGAGGTAGTCACAGATCACATTCCCTTGGTCTGAAGGAAGAAGGAATCCAGCCCCAGGCATCGGGGTGGGGTAAGGGAGGAAGAGGAAGCACCTCAGATCTCCTCAGGGAAGGTGTCTTCAGCTCTGTGATCATCCCAAGTTCACCCAGGACAGGGGACAGGGGGACTTGAAGATACGTTTGTACCACTGGCAGAAAGACACAATACCACATCTCTTGTTCATGGCCTTCTCACAATGGTGAAAATCCAGGTGGTTCTGCCAGCAATTACAGGTCTGGTTCTGGTGGAGGAAGCGGCTGTCAAAGGGCACCGTGTGGTGGTTTCGGATGTTGGTTTTGATGTCTTCAGACATGGTGGCTCCTGGACTGAGGTGGCTTCCGCCGCAGTCGCTGTCTCTGTCTCCGCTGCTCCTCCCGCAGATGCTGCAGACTCAATTCCCTCTTTTCTTTTTAAGTTTCTTTGGGCTATCAGTATCAGTGTCTTCCCAACATCCACTACTCAACTAGCTTTATATAATTTATGTCTTAGTTGAAGCCATAGCCTATATTAAACAGTAGATAGTTGTGGTATCAATGAGTCAAAATGCATGCAGTTTAATAACTTTAGAGGATACAAACTGTATTTCAGAATGGCTAATAAATGTCATTTGTCATTAATAGCTAACCAGCACAACAATCTGCTATAGAGTAAGAAAATTAAGCTTGGCTTATATTTTCTGATAAACTTCAAAGTTAGGATGTTTCTGTTTATCAGAACTATTTCAATGTGGCCACATTCTCTGTCACACACACACACACACACACAAACACACACACACACACACACACACACACCCCCGCCCTAGATGTTCAGACAGAACATCTTTCCTTTAGCTTATTGAATAACTTCCAGAACACTCATACAAACTCAAATATATTCCCCACTGGCAACTAAGACTAAATCATATTTAATTTCTTTCACTGTGTTTCTGTTTTCAGAAAGGAAATAAAGTCGTGTTCTTTTTTCTCCTTCCTTCCCTTCCTGTTAAAGAGTTTACCTTAAAACAATATTGCAATTATTACTGAACCTTGGAATTTCATTGGGAGTAACCATTAGCATTCCTACGGCTATATTTGAGAGGTTTTGTTTTTGTATAACTAAAGTAAAATTCAATGGCATTTCTATATAACAACAAAATACAAGAAGAAATAATAGAAAGTGAAATCCCATTCCATACAACTACAAGGTGCACAAAATCATCTGAAGATCAACCTCCCAAAGCACACAAAAGACATGTATGGATTCAATTACAAAGTGCTCCTTAAAGAATTAAAGAATAACCTAAATAGCTGAAGGAATATTCAGTGCTAATGGCTAAGCCATGCCAATATAATGAAAATGACAATGCCACCAAAATTAATTTACACTTTTAATGCTATATCAATCAAATTACCAAAAGGAAACTTCACAGAGCTAGATAAGGAAAAACAAAATTCATTTGGAAAAACAAAAGATCTAGAATGTTAAGAGAAATGGTGAAAAGAAGTAAGGAAGAAGGGAGAATAGTGATTCCATACTTCAAACTATGTTATAAAGAAGCAGTCATCAAAACCATTGGGTATCAGTAAAAGAAGAGAGAGAGAGACTCATGGGAACAGACCAGACAAGGGAGACTAAGAAAAAAGGCAACTCAATAACCTATTGTTTGATAAGGTGGAAAACATAAATTACCTAGGGAAAAATTCCCTATTTGATAAAAACTGCTGGGAAAACTGGATAGCAATCTGGCAGAAATTAGGCGTGGCCTAACACGTCACATCACATTCCATGATACATTGTAAATAGACCCATGACCTTAATATAAAAGATCACATTAATAAAAAATTAGACCACATAAGTTATGGCAAGAGATATTCTTAAACCAAACAAGAGATAAAGGCATTACAAAAACCAAACAGATAACTTTGATTACTTAAAACTGAAGAGCTTCTGTATAGATAATCTTAATTCATCTAGGAAAAGAAAGGAAGTAGTTGAATAGGGAATAAAAAACACCTTTTATGTCAAATTTCTCTGATGAGGGTTTGGTATCCAAAGATATATAAACAATGAATAGCTAGCTAACTAGATAAGATTAGTAGACATTTCCAATAGATAAATGGTCGAAGGACATTTAATTCTCAAAAGATGAACTGCAAAGTGCTCACAACCACGTTAAAAAAAATGCTCCATATCACTAATAAAGAAAAATGCAAATCAAGACGACTGAAGTTTCACTGCAAAATTGGCAAAAACAGCAACAATCATTGTTGGAGGAGGTGTGGGAAGACAGGAACATTAATACGTTATTGGTGGAGCTGTGAAATGGCACCATCATTTTGGAAAGCAATTTGGAAGTATACAAATAAAATGACTAAAAATGTCCATACCCCTTTGAACCTGAGTCTCTATCACTGGGCTTATTTAATACTCCAAGGAAGCTATCAATAAGAAAAAGAAGTCCCCATATATTCTAAAATATTTATAGGATCACTTGTTGCGATAGCTAAGAATTAGACACAAAATAGATGCCCACTGATTGGTGAGTGGTATTAAAACAAATTGTGATATATGAATATAAGGGAATACTACTGTACTATAAGAAACAATGTGTGTGACAAATACAGAGAAGCATGGAAAAATTTATATGAACTGATGCAGAGTAAAGTAAGTAGAGCCAGGAAAACAATATACACAATAACTACAACAATATAAATGGAATGACACACCAAAAAATCAAAAATAAACATAACAAAATTATAAAGTTCAAGTGGAACTCAAGTGAAGGGAGATAGAAGGTCCCCAGGACTTACATGTTACATGTGTTTCTGGACTTTTTTCAGTGTATCAATCAGTTGTGTTGACTTTTTTCTCTCTCTAAAAGTACTATTTGTCATATGGGATGGCTCTTTGGGGTAAGGGGGGAACGATGCATGGGATACTATATCAGAATCACAATACAATAAATACAAGTGTATAATTATAAACCTATTATGTTATATATAACTATACTATATATAAATATATCAATAAAAACTAAACAAAAAATAAAACAAAAACATTTACCTATGGTTATATTTCCAATTACTGCTAAGCCACTGAGAAATTCTTCAAAGGACAGAACAAGATCATAAATAAGTCAGATACTTGGTCAATCCCAAGAAAAAGAAAGCAACCTCATTTACATATTTCCCTTTTCTTTTTAAAGGTCTCAGATTTTATACAAGTTCTTGTTTTTGTATTTTAAAATTAATATACTTGGTAGGTAACGAAACTCACGTATCTGGTAGATGAGAAAAAGGGAGAAATCAAAGAGAGTCTTCCAGGAAAAACATATTAATAAATTCAAGAATGACATAGGAAAGGAAAGGCTAGTTATGTGAATAGATGAAATTATATTTTACCTGCAAGCTGGGGATAATGCAGATTTTAAAATATGTGATTCTATGGCAGATCCTAGTTTTACAATTCCAAGTCCTACTTTGATAACAGCTTTTCTAGATTGTAATTATGTACATACACATAGTTAAGAGGTGTCAAACTCTTGGCATGACCTAAATCAGATTAAAATGTAATTGGGAAATGTTTAACTAAATAAAACCACAGTACTACAAAGATAATATTAATTTATGGTTTTCTAAGTCGATATGTAGGCCTGCAAAGATCCATTCCTATTTGACACCACTGATACAGATCACACATCTGAAATGACTTGAACAATGAGCTCAATTCTAAGAATAACAGAATCTGGCTTCTCTTTCAACTTTGAGGGAGCAAGGACTATGAACAGTCTGCTTTCCTTATCTTCAGCTCTATTTCTTTTAACCTGTTTATGCTATATCTATATTTTCAACTAAAAAAGTAGTTAACATGTAAAAAAGGAATTAAAACACAAGATAAGGTTTGGTTTCTTTTTTTTTTGGAAGAGCAGAATAATTCAAACAGGAAAAAAAAAGTTCACAATGATGGCATTTTTTCAGGAAGTTCAAACACCTTGGAAAAGTGTTATACTTCCTGCTTTATAGGAAACATATTAACAAAATGCAAATTTCCAAAAAAAGGCATACTAAATTAATTAAAAAGTGGTTTGTTTGACCTGGATAAACACTATGATAGGAGTTAAGAATCAAGTAAGAGAATGATCACTTTCTGATTTAGAATGAGATCAAACTGCTATCATATAACACATTCCCATTTACTTAGGGCTTTTGGACTTATTTTAACCATTTGACTTTTATAAGTGTATGCGGTGGGCACCTAGGATAGGGTGCTATATACTCTCAGGACTCAGCAAGTTTGTTTATAACTAGTAAATTGTAGGAAATATTCTATTCTAGTAACTGACAAATTCGATTTGGTTTTACACAATAGATACCTGTATGTGTTAAAATGGTCTATTTCAGCTTTTGCATCCCCCCCTCCCCCTGCCCCAATCACATTAAGAATTGTTTCTAAATAAAAAGAAACCCATATTTTAACTTCTCTGGGTCTTCTGTCTGGGAACAATGCCTATATATTTCTAGTCGTTAAGAAAGATTATTCCTAGCTTCGTCTTCAAGTTTTCTATTCTTACCAGGGTCCTCACTCATGTTAGATCCCTACATCATCATACTCTAGATTCCTAAAATGATGTTTCAACAAATCTCTAATAAAGCAAATGCCAGGGAATAATTCCACTGTTTCTGGTATTGCTTCAGCAAAGACTGGAAAGATCTGATCAAAATGAGGAAAAAGAATGACCAACAGAGAAAAGGAATATCTGTCCCTACAAACTGCTATAAGAAACCTATAGTCCAAAGTCCTGAGACCCATTCTTCCACTGGTGTAATAATACTGTATCTGCCTCCTGTCAGAGAACAAATATAGTTTGTAAATGTGAATCATAAGTTACAAGATAAACTGAAAAACCATGCTCACAGAGATAGGATGTTTCTAAAAGGAAGTATAAAGTACCCAAATTCAAATACGACTCGGGATAGGAGTCGATGATTTTACCTAAAAAAGTGATCACTTCCTGCTTTGTCACTGCTTCCCCCTCCTATATTCCTTCTGAGAGGGTATTTCCTAAAAATAAGATACGTTCCTAAGGAAGCAGATGTTTAACAAAAAACTTTTTATTGATATCTTCTGTTTTTATATAAATAAATTCTCAACCTTGACTCAACTGAACCTTCCCTTGTGACAAAGAAAAATAATTAAGCAAAAACAGTCAATTTAATAACCACATCTGACAATGTATACAATATTCTACACTACTGGTTCTCCCAACTTTGTTCTGTGAAGGTAGAATCATGATTCTCTTCTCTGGAACTTTCATTGACTTTCCCAATACTC